GCTTCTGTATTGGCAGACTTGGATATGCACGGATAATTTAAAACTACACAAAAACGGATCAGGAATGAATTAGAATCCCAAGATATGCAAAACAAATTATGATGGGATTGGAACAGTGATTCATCCAAATTTGTAAAATGTATGTACATTACAATTCTAGAGTTACACAAAAAATTCAACAAAGGTTTTCAACTTTGACAGTTGAAGAATCATACATATAAGGATGTTCAAAATGGCATTATCAGATTTAGAGAAAATTCAAAAATTGAAACGTTGTCCTTGAAACATCATTTTTTTACTGTTTCAATTGCATGTCTAAATTACTTTAAACAATTGGGAGTTGATCGGAAGTGCGGACACTAGGAAATTTATCATTTTAAAGCCATTTTTAGTAGAAAATAGCCAACTTTGGATATCTATATTTTGTTAGATGAGACTGAAAATGTCAGAATATACTAAACAAAACTAGAGTTTCAACTTTGTAGTTGGCAACTTTATTATACAAATTCATATATATGACATATGCTTGAAACCACCCAAGTTTCAAAACTTCCAGAAACAGAATAAGGTAGCAGAAAAAGACTTCACATCTCATTTGAATGAATTCCCGCAAAAAATTTTTCAACCAACTACAAAATTAAAGCTCTATTTTTGTTTAGTATGTTCTGAAATTTTCAGACAAATCAAAAAGTTCTAGACTATTTTTTAGAGGTTTAAAGTTGACTATATTCAGCAGTGATGGGAGGAAACGCATTTTTCCGAAATACGGAAAACGGAAACGGAAACGGAAATGGAAATTTTTCAGCGGAAACGGAAACGGAAAAAAAATCTTCAAAAATCGGGCGGAAAACTAAAACGGAAACGGAAACGGAAATTTTTATTTTTCGTCTATTTTTTAGGATTTTTTCCCTTCGAACGTTAAAATATACAGTTTTTAACGTTTAAAAACCATATTTGCATGACTTTCCATGCTTTTTTTCAAGCCAGTTTCAGTTTAATGTTTTCGTTGTTTTTTAAATTTTTTCCGTTTCCGCTGTGAAAAAATGGCGGTTTTTCCGGAAAACGGAAACGGAAACGGAATTATGATTTTATTTTTACAGAAACGGAAAAGGAAAAGGAAACGGGAATTTTTTTTCCGCGGAAACGCAAACGGAAAAAAATCTCTAAAAACCGGGCGGAAAACGGAAAACGGAAACGGAAATTCCTCCCATCGCTGATATTCAGGTACTTATTTTCACTGTTTCAATTACAATGTTTAAATTATCATTAAAAATGAAAAATGAAATTCAAAACTTGCATACGAATATTTTTGGAAGATATAGGTAAGAACTCCACAAATTCGAATGAATGAAAATGATTTTTTAGTTTGAAAAAATTCCAAATTCTTGCGATAAATTAAAAATCAACTTTTTTTTCATGTAGCTCCAGAATTACCTGTTTTGGTTTGAAATTAATTTTATCAAGCAACGCCTTACCATATCGCATTATCAAAGAATTATCAAATACTTTTTAAAAAACTATTTGAAACAGAATCTTCTGATTTTTGTTTTCGCTGTTTCAATCACAATGTCTAGACGACTGAAAATGAAAATAGATACTGAATTTAAGAAGTTACGATTCGAAAATTATTGAGAGTGGGTTTTAGGTAAAGGAATACCAAACAATTAAAACCAATGAAACTGAAGACTATTATTTTTTGTAAATTAAATAATACAAATTTTTGTCTTATATTTTTAAAGAAGACTTTAATGTCTAACGTCTTACCACTAATTTTAACCAAATTGGAATCCAAAAAAGTACATATTTGAAACAGGAATTTTTTACCCATAAAAAAATGAAAAATAAAAGCAAAAATAGAATAAATGAAAATGATTTCTTTTGTTTGAAAAAAATCCGAATTCTTGGTATAAATTCTATTAGAAAACTGTATACGTACATCACTATTTTCAATAGAACTGAAATTCAAAAAATGCATATTTGAAACAGAAATTCTTCCCCACCAAAAATGAAATAAAAAGTTCCAAAAAATAAAGAGTAGAGACAAAAGGTCCAATTTGAGGGAAATTCTAGCGCACTTCCCTTCCTTTTTTTTGAAATTCAATCCTTTAAACATGAGCAACAGAAAAGCACCACCCTCATGACCCATGTAAAGAGGCCAAAAATGGGCGCGGCGAGAAAAGAAGGATGAGCTCTTATGAATATATAGACTATTCATGTTTCTCTTTTTTCCGCCGAAAAGTGGTATCCATGGGTTACAAAGAAAGCCGTGAAACGGAAGAAAAACGGAAAAAGTGACAATTTTTCCGATTGAAGACGTCTGGGGTCCTCTAGGGTCCCTTAAAAAATGTAGGGAGCAAAAAAACTAGTGAAAAAGGTGTAAGGACACTAATCGGCGGAAGGGGTAGGTGTGAGTGGATGGGGGTAAAACACACATTTTTACATAATATAGGTATATGAACTTTTTTGGTCCACACTCCTTTTTTAGTGACCCCCCCCCCCTCTAGGGGGGTCAGGACCCACCTAGCTGGAGGGGTCACAAAAAATGGGACCTCTAAATTAGACCCTAATTATCTAGGTTTCTGAAAGAGGTATCGAAAAGTGGTCAACTAGCAAAATGTTTGAAATTCTATGATAAACATTTTATCTGCAATCGGTTTTACGGATATAGGCCCAATGCTGTCCCAATGGTTCAAGTTATAATATCTGAAATTAGAAACATTGTGGAACAGAAAAAATTCAGACAGGTTTTACGTAGTACGACGGGACAATACCAGACCAATTGGATTGAGCTACAGAACCTGATTTTGAGGATATTCTGGAACAGAAAAAAACTGTAAATTTTATCCTGTTGGTTTGATAATCCCCAAATTTTCAAGAAACCCCAGTACAAAAAATTACTGTTTCAGAATTTTGATATTATAATATTTCGAAAACTAATGCAATTCTGCTCGTCAACTGTTTCAAAATAAAAAATACGAATTTCAAAAAAATGTCCAAATGTCACAATGATGAAATCTATCTTATTTAAATATTATTTTCCGAAAATGTTATTTTGAAAAAAAAGAAAAAATCGGGCATTTTTAGTTTTCGGAAGCGCTTGTCGGATACGGAAAAAATATGGCACTTTTTCTGAATCTTGTGAATTGTTCTAATGTCGTCGACATTTTGAATCGCAAAATATGATATGTCTGAAATAGTGAATTTTTGAAAAACGTTATTTTAAAGTCAGCTAATTAGCTGTTTCCGAATATAGTCAATGAAAACAGAAGTCCCTCAAAAGTTACGGTACCTCTTTATAAGGTGACGGGTACTGTAACCGGAGACCAGGAGGTTCAGCACCGTATTTAAAATAAACTTCAAAGTATCGGAATATAAACCGTAACTTTCGACTTTCAGTCAATGTATCTCGGTTTCTGTGTACGATACCAAAAAGTAGTGAACTGGTGGAATATTTCTTATATTATAATAAGCATTTTGTCAGTGTAACACTTTGTGATATCTTTCACCTGAAGCGAGATAAATTGGCTCAAAGCTCACTGTGTTTTCTAACCGTAAACTTTGACCAACTCCTCCTCGGTTCCTGTAAAATATATTATGATAATCTTAACAAAAAAAATGGTTGCCTTGATAGATTTTATAAAAAAAATTCAAGTGTTATTTAAACGTGACGAAATTTGTTTAAAACTTCAACTGTTTGAAGCGCCGGAGGCGCGGCAAACAGGCTGGTCAGATACAAATTTGTCTAAAAACATCTACGTCATGACCTAGAAAAAATTAGGTCATGACCTAGAAAAATATTGGTCATGACCTAGAAAAATATTGCTCATGACCTAAGAAAAAACTAGGTCATAACCTTAAAAAAATAGGTAATGACCTAGAAAAATCTATGTCATGACCTAGAAAAAATTATGTCATGGCCTAGAAAAATATAGGTCATGACCTAAAAAATCTAGGTCATGACCTAGAAAAAATTGGGTCATGACCTGAAAAATCTAGGTCATGACCTAGAAAAAATTGGGCCATGACCTGAAAAATCTAGGTCATGATCTAAAAAATCTAGGTCATGACCTAGAAAAAATTGGGTCATGACCTGAAAAATCTAGGTCATGACCTAGAAAAAATTGGGTCATGACCTGAAAAATCTAGGTCATGACCTAGAAAAAATCTGGGTCAGAATTACTGTTTCAGATTTTTTATATTATTTCGAAAATTTGCCATTCACCGTTGACTACTCTTCTCTACTTTACAAAATCATGAATTTTTCTCAAAAAAAAAACCTGATTACAGAACTATTTCCAACTGTCACTATAATGAAATCCATCTCATTGAAATCATATTCTCCGAAAATACATATTCGAAAGGCAAAGAAAAAATTGTCGAAATCGGAAAAATATGAATAATTTTTCTGAATTCTATGAAAATGATCTGAATGTTGTCGAAATTTTGATGTGCAAAGTGTCATATGTTTGAAATAGAGAATTTCTTTAAAAAAACACTATATATTTCAAAATCGACAAGTTATGTTGCAATAAGAAAATCAATTTAAAACTGTTCTACTTGGTGTTTTAAAACTCAGGTCATGACCTAGATTTAGGTCATGACCTAGATTTTTTAGCCTGTTTGCCGCGCCTCCGGCGCTTCAAACAGTTGAAGTTTTAAAAAATCACTTTTACATGAAAACTTCAATGTAAACGCGATTCATTAGAATTCGATAATGTGACTTCATTCAATATGAAGTATTAATTTTCACAGTCATTCACATTGAAGAAACAGTATCCAGGTTTTGAAATTTTAATATTGTTCTGAAACAGTTGAAAAAAACTTCTCTATTAAAAAACACTTTGTAGTTTGGAAGTTTAAGGAATTTGATTATATACAATGCCAGTACTAATTTCGGTTTCAAGAAACTGATTTCTCCCAAAATAGTTTTCATATAAACATTGCATATTGTTCAAAACCCAGATATTTATTCCTCTTTTTATTTTTTTTTGAAGAAAAAATCATTTCGGAACTTCAAGACGATACGAAGGAGGTGAAGATTCAGTTTGTGATGGATGCACCATGTTGAGCACTTTTGAAAATGGATTCTTGTGTTGAGAAATGGCAACTGCTGTTGGCGGAGCTTGAGAACCATTTTTTGTTGGGCTGAAAAATCAATTTTTCGAAATAATATTTTTTTGCCGTTTCAGAATCATATTTTCAGCAGTTAGGATGATGTTGATGCGATCCTTGTTCATTATAGGTTAATTTATCTCGATTCATATGGAAGATATCAAAAGTTTGTAAACTGATAACATGTTTATCATAATATAACTTTTTATCAGTTGACAAAATTCTGATATCCTTTCTAAGAACGAGATGATTGAGTTTGAAAATGGGCATTTTTTAGAGCGTCCCGAAAAAACCATTTGTTTCACTATTTCAAAAAGTCCATAAGACAAAAAAGAATTTAAAAACCTCAGTGCTTCTTCAAATAGCGAAACTCACTGGCACCAATACATGGTTCCCTTCTCATCATCCGGCTCCTCGAGTTTCAATGGTGGACAAGAGTCGTGGCACGTGTCAACGATCTCGATACCAGTCGACATATTTCTATCGATCAACCAGTTGCACTCAAAATCATCGTCATCTTCTCCAAGAGGATTCAGAAGGGCCTCTGCGACCTGGAAAATGAATTATTTACTAATCAATTGGTTCAGATAAATTGGGTAAAGGTCTTTGTCAAGTTGCTGTTTCAAAAATGCCATAATTTAACTACTAAATATTTTTATTCAATAATTTATAGTTGTGTGTTGTTAATTACAACGGTAAATACGGATAGCAAGACTATCGTACGGCCGGCCGAAACCGGCTCGGCTAGCAGTACTCACCTTCATCCAGCCTACAAAGAAAATGAACTGAAGAATCGTCATAACTGGAACAACTGATTGTGCTTCGGTTGGAGGAGCTGATAAAAGGTATTGACGAGAGATTAAGCAAATGATGAAGTAGACACGGACGGCCAGGAAGACTACCTGAAAGATTTTATTTCAAACAGTCTGAAATCGATAAACCTGTAATAGAAGGGCTCATATGCTCTCAAGTTTAAGCTCAATTATCTCAATTACTATGCGATATATCAAAAATCTGTCAACTGATAAAATATTGGTGATATCATGAAAAACATTTTATCAGTTGGCAACTTTCTGATATCTTCTACAAGAAATGAGGTATATGGACTTCTACTAGTTGAATCAACAAAAATCAGCCTGATTTTTTATCTGTTTCAATGTTAAGTATTATATGTACATAGTCTTAACTTGAATAATTGATAACTAAATACTCCTCTAACAAGTTTTTAGTGTAAGTTTTTATGTTACCTGTGGATAAGCGATTGGAATTGGGACCCAATCATATTTGGTGAGCATCTCCATCGATTGGCGGAATTCTTTGATGTTCTGGAATTTGGAAAAAATTGGGGGATATTTTCACAGTTTCAAATCTTTTTTGAAGTTTAGTGGAATTTGTTTTTGTTAATATGTACGTTTTGATTGAAGACTAGAACATAAAAATTTTTACGTTTGATGGAAAACAAAAAAATTTAAAGGTGGGGGGACAGGAGATTTTTCGTAGTTTTTTTGTAGCTAGAGTATGCATTCTACCGTCACGGTGTACAACGCTTAATGTCACTCTGCGTACAGCTGTCGTCCTCGCCTTTATGTATGCAATCGGGCGTGCGCTTTCTCTTTGCCCGCGTGGCTCAGTCGGTAGCGGCGCCGCACCCTCAATCCTCGCCTTCACTAGTTCAACTCCTCGAGGGGCATCTTTGAACGGAATTCCGAGAACATTATTTTTTTCATGTCCCCCCACCTTTAAAGTATTCTGATTTCATAATTGAAGTTCAGATAAAACGTTAATCAGTAATAAAGAAAGTTTTATGTGTACTACACGGTCTCCCACAGAACATTTCCGAACTGCAAATTAATTGTTGATCTAAAGAAAAAAAATTTGGCGCGATCACAATTACAGGTCGAAAAACATAATTTCAGAATTTTTTATCTGATTTTGTGGAGTTCCAAGATGATTCAAATGATTCTTAAAATATTAATTAGTGGTTATAGATTTATGTATGGTCGTTTTCCGGAAGAAAAATTTAAAACTTTTTTTATAATAAAAAACAACGCAAAAATGCGATTTTGTGCAATTTCGTGAGGTTTTTTGATTATAAGAAAAGTTTCATCAGACGAATCAAAAATTCATCCATACAAAATGAAGAATAAATCATTGCAGTTCTTTTAAGCTATAGAACTCCTAGAAATGTCAAAATTTCTGTTTAAAAAAATTTTCTGTAAAAAACTCTCAAAAATGACCATTTTTGGAATAGTTTTTTCCACAAAATCAGATAAAAAATTCTGAAATTATGGTTTTAGACCTGCAATTGTGATCGCGCCAAGCTTTTTTCTGTAGATCAAAAATTGATTTGCAGTTCGAAAATGTTCTGTGGGAGGCCGTGTACTACCAAAAATGAATTTTTGAAAAACTTAACATTATAGAAACTAAATGAAACTGGAAAATTCCGTTTTTTTCTTCATTAATACATTACACTTTCAGATTTATTTTGAATTTTGTGTGATGTTCTTGAATTATTGGGGATGCGAAACCTGTTGGAAACTATTGTTATTTTTGCACAACAAATGGGTGGAGTCTAGCTGCTGTTTTGGAATTCAACCGTCTAATATTCCAAAATGCCTCAAAATATTCATTAAATGAATCTGGAAGAATAATTTTCTTTTGGAATTTGAAAAAAAATCTGTTGCAGGTTCTCTTTGAATTTCAGTAGGAAATTTTCAAGGCAATCCTCCGTAAATTTTTTGGGCGTTGAATTGATGAGTGATTATTATGAATTGAAGCTTTATGACCCAAACTTTCTTAATTGAAAAACTGTTTCAGGTACTTTTTAATTTTGTTGTGAAATAGTCAATTAATATTTAGCGAATACGATAGGATTTAATCAATTTTCATCAATAAATTGTCTATCCATTAAAAAGTAATTTTAAGATTCAAACTAATGCTATTGGAAGCAGGGCTTTGGCTTTTTGGTTAAGGTGCTTCTGGTTTCAGAAGTATTTGAATGACCGAGATTATTTCCAAAATAACGTTCGGTTTGGCGCACAAGTACCTATCAACCAACCCAGTCGAATCCCATATTTCATAATAGAGCTTCTTAAATATACTCACCATCAACACCGAATTCATACTCTGCACCGAATCTACATTCTTTGTCTCAAACATTGCTTTATGTACCAATTGATTTGCCCAATGTGTTGGTAGCCAGTACTTGTTATACATCGTTTCACATTTGTACATTTTTTCCAACTCATCACGGTACAAAAATCCTCCAGTTACCAGTGATTCCATTGTCGGGAATCTACGACGTACACGCATTGAGATGTCACGGAGGACTAGGACTTGAGACAACACCAAATATCGAATGATAGTGCGACGGAGCACCTTTGCAGCATGATCAGTACCAGAGACTAAGGTACCGACAGAGAGAGCAACGCTGGAAGGTACTGCTTAAAAGAGGATTATAGAAGGATCTAGATGGTCCTAGATGGTTCTAGAAGGTTCTAGAAGACACAAAAAAGTTCTCTAGATTCCCAAAAAGCTCCTACTTCTCGATAAATCCAATATTGGTAAAAACGGATCTCCATCTATCCACCACAATCGTAACAAAGAATCCGAGCATGAAAGTTAATGGGATATGGACCAGGCGCACATTCAAATGAACGGCTGCGTATTCGAAGAATCTGAAAGTCAGAAAAACACTTTCGCTGTTTCAGAATGTTTGTAATTGGTGGAAATCGTTTTTTCCCAACTCTCGCTGTCTTTCTACGATACATCCAATAGAAAATTGAACAAAAATTGTGCGGAAGTATTGGAGCTACGAGCTTAGCTAGCTTAGCCAGCTACACAGTCAAAAACTCACTTCTGCTGATCCTCGGTCATCAGATATCGATAGACACTTTGAACAGCGGCAAACGCTAAAATCCACATTGTTAATTCGCATTTCACAGATTTCCATATCGAACCACGCCATCTGGAAAATGTTACTTTTATAAGAATATTTGGGAATCAGACTAAAGCAAACAGAAATAAAAATTCGATGAATTACAGTTTCATGAAACACATTTTTTGACAATTTTTAAACATTTTCAATCAGGTTGGCTAATAGTAAACCAAACTTTGAAAACTATTTATGAAAATAATTTATATTTCTAATTTTCTCAGGGATTACAAAATAAAATGAAATTATGGGACCTTTTTCTGTGAAAATATAAAAAAGTAGTTCACATGAGCCCGACTGGTTAGAAAATTTTAGAAGTTCAAAAATCATATAGTCACTTTTCTTCAAAATACGTTTTTCCAATTTAAAAAATTAGTACATAATAATTTTTAAATACAAAATTAAAGATATATTTTTGTTCAGTACACTGTGAATGTTTCAGGCAAATCTCAAAATTCTAAACTGGTTTTGGAGAGCTTTGATTTTGAGGTTTTTTAAGTAAGAAACATACCAAATTCAAAAAAATTTTGAATAAAAATCCAATTGGGTGGTGACTAAACAAATGTGAATATTTAAAGTTTTTTCAAAGAAAATACGTCTTTGAGCTACGCGATTGAAAATGTCGTCTATGGATGAACCACCTACAGTACCGGTCAATAAGATATGCAAAATCATAAGCATTTTAACGAGTCTAAAGCTTGTCTGTCAAGTTTCCAATAACTTTGAAAATTTCGGACGATGTAGAACAGACCTAGATTGAAAACTTTGCGTTCACAGAATTTTTTGAAAATTCCTAGTTTTTCAACAATTTGTTGGTTTCTGAAAGTCACTTTTTCAATGCATAAACGGGCCACAAAAATAGGAATTTGCAAAAAACTGTGAACGCAAAGTTTTAAATCTAGGACTGTTTCAGACGCTCTGAAATTTTCAAAGTGATAGGAAACTTGCCAACTCGACAAGCTTCAGAATCCTGAAAATTGCCGAAAATCAATTGAAAACTATGTTTTTGTAGATCTTATTGACCAGTACTGTAGTAGATTTTGTTAGATGAGTCTGAAAATGAAAAAACTAAACAAAAACGGAGCTATATTGAAAAAAGCTATAGAAACCCTATTTATCCTTCAAATATCTTTTTGGAAAACTGAATACTTTAAATTGGCTGTTCCAGGCAATCCAATTAAGTTTCAAACATTTTTAACTGACAGTAAACAGTGGTTTGATCTTTCTTATTAATAAAACGCTAGAGGCGTCTGTCCGTCCTCGTGTCCGTCTGTGGACTTTTGAAAAAATTGAAAAACACATATATATTTACGTGACCCTTTTATTTCGAAAAATTGAGAAACGAAGCGACGAACATTTGAAAAAATAGATTGAATCGCGCCGAAGGCGCACCAGCTTGCTGGTTTTTCTATAACTATCTTCATTGTTCAGAAAGTCAAGTCAATACATTTTCAACCTAGGCCTGTTTTACATCCTCCAAAAATTTAGAGTGATCGGAATCTTGACAGCCAAGCTACAGGCTCCTGAAAGTGCCCAAAATCAACTGGAAAAATATTTTTTGTATATAAACGTCTCCTTTAATTTTCCTAAGTACACTTTTAATTACCCCAATCATAATTAAAAACCAAAAGAACGTCTTCGCACTTACGTCATCAACAACTTGACAAAAGTGAACGAATTCACAGAAGACACTTCCTGGTTGTAGTTCACGGTCATCGCCGACAGTCGTGGTTTCTATAAAATGAAGATTAGAAAATTGACAGGGAAATTAGATGAAGGAAGAAAAATCTCCTCCACTACTACAACAAAACACATTTAGAACTAGTTCCTATTGACAAAAATTGATAACAAAAAAAAAGAAAAAAAAACTTACGGGATTCGGCATTGGGATAGTCGTTGTTGTCGTTGTCCCATTCTTCTCCTTGGTCATTTTCAATTGCAGAATTGAAATTTCGGTCAAGAATCAATGTTGTTGGCTGAAAAATTGTTTTGGCTGAAAATCTTGTTGACTTGTTGGAGAAGACAGATGAGTGATGGACCACATGAATTATTGAAGTCCTGACTGAGAGATGTTCTATGATATCAATGATTATGATTTCTGGTTGGAATTTTGGATTTGGGTCTTTTTTGGAAGGGAGTCAGGTGGCTCTTTTTTCTGACGTAGTATCTGATCTGGAAACTACCGGAAAAACTCTATTAGATAGCCAACCCTAATTGAATGCCAGCCTCTAATATAGTGCCATCCTAGAGCACCTCCAAACAATAGAGTGCCAGCCCCTAATATAATGCCACTGCGAATTTGATGTCACTGTGGTAAAAGTTAAAAACTAACACAAAAAATCATTTTCTGGTTTTCTAGCTGTTGTCTAGCTTTGAAAGAGGTACTGTGTTTGTCAGAAATGTTTCAGGATATTATCAGACTCCGAAAATCTCTTTGAAAAGTCGACGAAAAGTCGACTGGTTGAAAGATTATTTGAAAAAAAAAACAAAATTTTCGGACTTCCAGAGAATGTTTTGAATTTTCATAAATGTGGTAATCAAAAGGCAAAATTCGTGTTTTTCATATTTTTGACACTACCGTAAAACCTGTATTAAAAGGGCCTCTTTAATGAAATCACCCTCTAATAAAAAGGCCCTCCGAGATGGGGGGGGGGGGGGGTGGGTTGGAAAAACAGAAGGGCCCCTGTAATAGAAGAGCCCCCGCAATAGAAGAGCCCTCTGTGAAAAGTAGCCTACTTCAAAATGTGTTTTGAAATCAGAAAATTTTCGTACTTTTTCAGTCAAAAATATTCCGGGAACTCCACAATTTAATAGAAATTTGGCGAAACTCTATTTTTTTGACGAAAATCTTGCTCAATATTGATGAAATTGGCAGATTTTCATGAATTTTGAACGAAACTTCGGTGAATTTTTCGATGCAAAATTTCGGAAAAAAAACTGGTACGATATTTCGAAAAACAATGTTTCGACGAGATATTAAAATATTTTTTCTAAATTTCGTCAATTTCAAACACCTGTTCTCATCCCTAAGTTCTCTCGAAGATCGGAATTTTTTGATGATAGTCGATGAGTGTTGGAAACTTATGAATTATGTCTTATAGTTTTTTTTTAGTATTCTGTCGTATGCATTAATGTTCTCTGAATTTGCAGGGAAATTTTGCTTTTTTAGGCAATGTGATATCAAAATCATGGAATTCCGAATTCATAAGAATAATAATGGCTTATTAATTTTTTATTGATTTGAGGCATTACTCTAAATCAGGAAACAAGTGAATTTTCATTCAAAAATTCGGAAAAAATTGAAAGTTTCTGTTCCATATTCATCATATTTAGTTTTTGAAAATTATATTAATCATTCCTCGGTTACCAACAGAAAATATGTGAAAAAAGCCAAATTTCTGTCGTTTTCAATTCAAAAATCAATTAAAACATAATCTAACCCATATTCTACCCCTAACACAAAACCAAAAAGCGATAGGTTCCACCGAGATTTGAACTCGGGTCGCAGGATTCAAAGTCCTGAGTGCTAACCGCTACACCATGGAACCGACGGGAGTGAGGGGAATGGAAGGCGATTATAAGACAGGGTGAAGTGGCGGAGGGGGGAGACGCAGAGAGAGAGAGGAGGAGAGGAGAAGAAAAGGGCGACTAGAGGAGTTGTCTTGTTTAAACTTTGAAGGCACATAGAAAATCCGAATAATTCGAAATAAACAAAAATGTTTCAAATAGAATATTAGTATGTGAAGTTAATTACTAACGATGATCCGATTGCAAAACAGATACAGCAAAGATCCGATTACAGCAAATTCTTCAATTAAACGCTACTCTTCACTTTGAACTCAATTATCTCGATTCCTATAAGTGATATCAAAAGTTTGTCAACTGATAAACTGTAGCTGATATTATGAAAAATATTTCATTAGTTGACAAATTTTTGTTATCTCTTACGGTAACCTAATCAAACACTGTCAAAGTCAAACCCCCAGATTTTAACAGCCGTTTAACTTCGACTCTTTTTTCTTGGTTTCTATAAGAGGTATCAGACATTATTCAACTGATAAAATTTTAATGATAATATGATAAACATTGTATCAATTGACTACTTTTCGATACCTTCCATGGGAATCGAGATAATTGAGCTCAAAATGGAAGATGCGTTTTTCAGAATGGTACGTTAACGAAATTACCTTTTTCTCATGTTTGATGTAGTCATGCTCATCGATTTATTATGTTTATTGACCCTTTTGCTGAAGAAAAGGGGCGGAGCTTCCCATGGGGAATTGGACTCCTTCACCCTTCAAGCCTGTAAATTACCACTAAAATGCCCTCACAACTTCTTTGTTTTGTTTTTATTCTTGGTATTCTGATTTTCTGTGTTTTCTTCTTAACCCAATAGTTCAAAAAGGTGTTGTCCACCCCCAGAAAGCATGATGTATGTGGGATTCTCCCCCTCCTCCTCCTTCTTCTTCTTCTGGAATTTTCTCTCCATTTTTCTTCACTCTATCCATTTTAACCCAATTTGAACGGCACGGAGGGTCCTTTTGCCTCTTGACACATCTCTTCACACCCTCTGACGTTTTATATTCTACATTTTTCTTTTTATAAGAAATCTAGTGAGATTTTTTTGTATTTTGCAACCTGGATTATTCTTTTGCGTCATGGAATATCTATGAACTTTGGCCCAAGGAACAAGTAGTCTCTGATGATCTACAGTATCCAGGTATGTTTTTTTGCTTATCAGCACTATAAAGGAACAAATAAGATAGCAAATTTAAGTGAAGTTGAGGGAAAAATGAAACCGAAAAATTTTTTAATGAAAATTAGAAATCTCAAAAAGTTAACAGAATAGAGGCCAAATTAAGGGAAAATTTTGATTCAGGATTTCATGGGAAACTTGAAACAGACTTTTTTTTGAAATTAAAAAAAAAAGTTCCAGTAGTTTTTTCAAATAACGAAGGTTTCAAAATTGTGGTTTTTCTTCAATTTTTTGATTTTCATAATTCCTAAGGTATGTAAAGGAATTAATGAAAATAAAACATTTAATACAAGTTTAAAGAAAATGTGGAACCGGAAAAACTGTTTTTTTTAAATTTCAAAAGAAAAATCATTAGGAATATATTATTTTTAGCTATTTCAAATTTTTCAGAAATCTACTTATTTTTACTATGCAAAACTGAGAAAAATTCGAAATATTCCCTTGATTTCTGATCCTTCTCTCTTTTTAGTCTCTATAAAACTTAAAAAAAAGCGAAAAAATCAAATTTTCACAAAATTGAGACATCTCAATTTTTTCTCTTTTTTGCTCACATTCATGGATTTTTTGTTTCTTTTTCAGGCGCTGTTCATCGAAACGATTCTCATGTCGGCGAGGATACACGGTGAGCTTAATTAAAAAAAAAGTTAAATTGAAGTTTCCGAAACCAATATGGAAAATAGTCTTTTCTAACCAATTTCAAAATATGGCCTAGAAATTCCAAACGAAAAAATATCAATTTTTTGAAAAAAAGATAAAAAGATTAAAGATAAAAGATTAAGTACAAGCAATCACTAATAACCAATACTTCAAGATTTATGAAAAATTTGAAACTGTATTAAATTTTTTTCGAATTTTTAACACTGAAATCCGTAACTTCAAAAAACAATTGAAAGTTTTTACTGTATCCGATAGTGACCAAATTTTCTTGTCTGTTTTTTATTGCTAATACGTTCAACCTTGTAAAGATGAATCAAAATTCCAGAAGATCGAAGAAGTCTCTCATCAGGCTAGAACCAAAAGAATGATTACTCGGTTATTAACGTTTTTCAAATTTGTAAACTTTAGGGAATCGAAAGAATATTGGTTACCACAAATCAATGGAAAATTTACAATCAGTTTGTAACCGTAACATTAACAAAATATATATTCGAAAAGTTTCTGATACAAATTGTTTACATCTTTGTATTATAAAACTGTAAATATTCTTGGTTGGGAACCATTTGTCAAAACACAAAAATCAAGAAATTTTTGTAAAATCCATAATTTGTCAAGTAAAAATTTTTCACTGTTTTGAAATTAGCCATTAAACATTCTTATCTGTTTCGATTAATGGTTCCTTTTCGTGAGTTTGTAAAATAAAATTTAAAGACTATTCCTTTTTCGTTAACTCTTGGAATCACTGATTCACAACTTGCTTTTCATATTGTCTTCACTAATTGAAATCGAAACGTTATGATTTTCGGTTTTTAACATTTTCTGAATATATATTTTACAAGGGAGGTCGTTTTAGAAAGGATTTCAGAATTTTCTTATTTTTTGACAGGGGTTAGTTGACGCGCTCAAAAAGCCCCTGTCAAAATCTGTATATGCACTTTTTCCAAAAATGCTGAAAATTTTTGTCTGAAAGTTTCCAATTTCTTAACCTCACTTTTCTCCGTTATTTCGCCTCCCGGGAACTTCCGGAAACACCGTTGACATGTACACACTTACGCACTGTCGTTCCCAGCGTTGAGGTGGCCGGGTGGTTGTGGGCGCGTGTCACAGGTCCTGGGCGATGATGCGCATAAAGGACCCGATCCATATGCGATCCTCTAGAAGTCCGTTTGACACATATCGCGAACAACGAGCTGCGATGAGTCTCATATGTGTGCGATGCGGGAGAGGCTGAATCGAGTGTTCCGAATGCGCGCGTATCCTAGATGGATTCTAGATTCTGGGTGGGTGGGCGATGTGTGCGATATGGGTCTGATACGGTAGGCCGACTACAACACTCCGAAATCCCGGATGCGCCCATTGTTTACCGTAAATCCACACCGGCAACTTTGTCAATTTTTCGTCAATTCGAGCCTACATTTCTGGTTTTTCGATTATTCCTTCGATGTTTTTTGTGAAAAAGAGTTATGGCAGAAAAAAAATCGCTGAATTCTTGCAGAAGCATGTCTTTCACTCGTTAA